GGTTTCTTCTTCAAATGCCAAAGTCGTATAGCAAACTGACATCTAACGTGCCACATGTTGTCGTAGTCACTACCTGATTTTAATGGTAATTGCAACAACAAATTCTTCACAAACACCATGACCATGACTCCACACTCTTTAGTGCTGCAAGTACAACCAGTGTCGACAAAGTTAACAATAAGAAGTGTACATACATTAATGTTGGTGTACACAGACAATTTTACACACTGTTTCACAAACACTTACGAACATGCAGAAACACAGATGACTTCATCAATCTCCCACTTTTGTATATAACTCACAAAAAAAAGAACATATACTTCGGTAATGTTACATAACAACTTACAAACAATTACAAATTAAACCATATTGGCACACAAACACTTACCAAGTGAATATTGTCTACAAAACAAGAACTTATTATAGGAAAAAAACCACAATGAAAACTAGTAATCTTTCCATTTCATAACTTTCATGATAAACCTTGGCAACCACTATCAGAACTTACTAGTCAAAAGAAAGCAAATCTGAAATCAAATTTAATGGTTTGCAGCACTCAACTTTTATGATGAAACCAATACTAGTTAGCCAACTAGCTAGAGATAGGAACCCAAATTTATACTCTCGCACATATAAATCAAATACACCTTGCTTTTCAAACAATGACTCGTTGACCAAGTCGATCACTAGGGTGATAAATTGAATCAAACATTGAATACTTTATTATTGTCAATGCCCTCATTACAAACAACTCCTCTATAAATTTTCCACTTGGCAAATGTGAATAAGGGTAAATTGAATACTAGTGATTAACTCATTTATAGATAAAACATTCATCTTTGTAGGTATACATTAACTCAATGAGGATTTCTTCAATTGTCTACACATACAGACACTACTCTGTACACAACGACACTAGTTGTCGGTACACACCGACACTAAGTATGTAAGTTGTCTGTGTGTCAAAGAAAATACCTCCAACATCAGCATTCGTCTTCTCCCTGCTATTCTCTTCCCTATCGCAGCTGTAATCATCCCAACCGTCAAGTATCGGAAGTTCGTTGACGCCTTGTGTCACAGGTCCGCCACCCGTCCCATCTAAGTCTTCGTCCCTAGGGTTGTTCGGACCACCATCTTCCTCGTTCACAGCTCCACCATTTCCGACCTCCGTCGCAGCTCCATCTTCCTCGTTCACAGCTCCACCATTTCCGTCCTCCGTCGCAGCTCCATCTTCCTCGTTCACAGCGACGTTCAGAGCTTCTGCATTTCTTCCATTTGTGTTGTCCATCGTCTGTCTCAGGTAGGTATCTTCCAAACCTCCGCTGTTTCCGGTCACTTCTCCATCCACCATCAAATATGCTAGAAAATCATCCATGAGATTTGAAAAAAACGGAGAGAATCACGGGAAGAAGAGAACGAACAGAGAGACATGTGGGAGAGAAAGAAAGGTGTGTGAGGATTGGGGATGGGAGTCTTGTGCGAGAGAGAGTAAAGAAAGCAGTAAAAAATAAGCCTTATATATGGTGTACCCCGGGGTGTAACCCAGGGTGTACACCAAGACTTTTTGATTCTACTTTTAGTACCCACTTCGAAGCATTGAAGTCGGTTAAAGATTTTAGATGAAATTTTAGTTGCACTAACAAATTTCACTAATGTGCTGATTTCTAAAAATATTATACTTTCTTCGTTCTTTAAAAATTTGCAACATTAGAATTTTTACATTATTCACAAATCTTACTTTGATTACGAATTTCTAATACTATATATAGTCGACATATTATGTGTAAAATATTATTAAATCTCTATTAATGTAAATTTTCAAAATATTAATTTTTTTAACATTTACTAATTTGTAATTAAATATAATTACAATCAAAGTTGTGCGTTGGCAAACGCAAAACCCAAATTGATCGATATGGTGTTGTATACTTTCCCACTATTACTCGATCATAGGGGTGTGCACCAATCCAAAACCGGACCAGAACCAGTTTGGACAGGAACCGGAATCTCAATTTTATAAGGTTCAAAGACCGGACCTGATACTAACCGGTCCAGATCGACCCGGGCCTGAATTTTCCGGCCCGGTCTAGTTTTAACCATAAGATCAGGTTTTTTAAATGGATTAAATAATTTCATTTATTTATCAACTTTGGCAAGTAATCTCATGTGAAAATGTGCTAAATAGAATACCATAACTAAATAAAAACTAAACTACATCCATTATCCATAGACCATGCACAAGGGCACAAGACAACCCTGTAGTCTACTGAAAATGTATAAACTACATCCAGAGACTTTAGCACATAAGAATATACAGTAATTTTAATACGAAAGTATTAGAGAATTATATTTTACACTTGAGCAATATTACTAAACGGCATGAAGAACTAAAGAAGTACTAATTTTGAAACTTATTTTGATTATTATAATGCTATAAGCAAAATTAGTGGTCTATGGCTACCAAACAGAGCATACTTCTGCTAAAACTAACAAGAGAATATAATTGTTAAAACTGTTTGACCAATGGACTTAAAATTAAGAAGAGAACACCTTAGAAACAACTCATCTAGTGGAGCTTGTAGTATGAATTGATATGGAATTTGATTCTCAACTATATTATTATAAATACGAAGTATTATGGTTTTAACAAAAAAAAAAAAATCAATCCATGAAAGGGCTTCACGCCAACAAACAGTAACAACACTCCAATTCAAAATGGTTAGATTTATTGATAAAACTCAATTACTCAATGCAATTCAGTGTGTTGGTAGTTTAGGTGTGTAGGCAGTTTACTCTAATTTCATACGGACCAAAGCATATATTTTGTACGGAGCACTAACTAAATGGGCTACCGGTCCGGGCCTATTTTTCCGGGTTTGACCCGGACCGGACCGCAAACCCGGAATCGTAAAATTATTAGAACTGTTTATACTTGTCCGGTCCGGACTGGTCCGGTTCAAGTCCAAATTATGGTCTTACCCGATTAATGCACACCCCTAAATTTACTCATAGTGATATACTACACACACTCTAAATATTAATAGTTAAATATCATGTGATGTGGATTAGAATTATTTGTATCGTTTAAAATCACACCCAATTTGCAAAATATGTGTAACCAAAAATTACACCTTTCAACACCTTCTTCTTCACACGTTTTGACATTTAGAAATTTTATGAATCAGGTTAAATCATAGGCTTATCGATGCTATTAACTAATAAGTCAATAAGTGATTTCTCTATCTCATGTCTTAAGCATACTATTTAGTGTGCCACTTTCTCATTTTAATGAGACTTATATGCCTCAAGTATTATACCTCTATTTCAAAATTTGAGTGCTTTTCATAACATGTTGTATTACTTAGACATTTCATATTTACGGTGATGGCAAAAGGCATACCAAATTTTCACCGTTGATGTTAGTCACAACATTAGTAAGTCTCCTTTAGTTTTCAAATTACATAGACAAACTAGAATAGAGTGCCTAAAGTGGGTGGTCTTATGCCAAAGTGGATAAGAGTGGCTAAATTTGCACAATTAGACATTTATGATACTGCAAATGAGGTGGTCAATCAAATAAGATTGATTAGGTAAGTGTTTTTATTATTAAAAATTACAGAGAATATGTTTATAATTTTATAAATGAATGGATATTAAGACTCCAAATTTCAAGGTCAACCAGATACGAGAAGAATTCTAAGATCTTATATAGTGCTTCATTTATGTATACTAATTCGGTGTGGGATCAATAACTCAACAAGCCTTTTCAATCCAAATCGAGCTAGACAGTGGGGTTATAAATGTGCTAAACGAATCTCTAATGAGCTACCATTAGTCATGGGTTCTAAACAAAGATAAAAAAACACCACTGAACCTTGGTTGATATCATGTTAAGAGTTGGATTACATCCTAAAATATAAACGTGACAGGGGGAATAACCAACTATTTTATTTCAATGTTTGATACAGAAGAAAATGAGGATCTTAAACCCAATGAACATTAATTTAGGTCTTCAAGATAAAAGTTCAGAATGAAGTACTATCACGAGATTGATTTTCTTAGAAACCAGAATGCTTATAATTGTTGGAATTATTGCTACTTCATCTGTAGGATATTAGTCTTTTATTCATATTAAAGAATTATAAGACTAGTATTTTTTTAGAGGTATAAGACTAGAATACTATTAAACCTGGGGTATTTATGTTTTTAACTTTAAATCATACATGGTCAAGTAATCTCGAGTAATCAGTGCTTATTGCCACCGAGTTGCGAGTTAAGTACTTAGATTATATACAAATTAATACCAATACATGTATCATGTATGTGTATATCATTACTAGATTATCTACAAATAACATACGTAATATTTATTTGTATTACAAAATCATATACGGAGTAATATACTCCCTCCGTATTTTAAAATTTCATACACTTCATTTTGGAATGTAATTTAAAGTTCCATACACTTTTTCTTTTTGGTAAGTTTTTCCTTTAAAAATACTTAATTACTCTTACTTTTTCTACTTTTTATCCTCTTTTTTCTACTTTTTTACTTTCTCTCCTATTTTTTCTATACTATTCATTGCTCCTACTATTCTCCCTTAAATCTTGTGTCATAACCCGACGTATGGATCACTTAAATACGGAGGGAGTAATTAAAGGGAAAAAAAACGGTTGAGAGCAGGACCGAAACTGTCCTGGTAGACCAGATGGGAACCAGTGCTCAGAAATAGGACTGGGAATCAGCCCCTACGTAGCTGAACCCGGCCTGTGTGCACTGTGCACCCTTTACAATGTTAGCCCCATCAAATTCACTTCACCAGAATCGAAGCAGACCCATTTCAACTCCTACCATTTCACCAAAATCGAACCGCACCTGGCCTGCGACCGCTCCTACGGTCCTACCAATGTTACCCCCATCAAGTAATTTCATCATTAATGGAAATCACAAACCTACACAAGTCTTTAATGACACATTTGAAAGATATATGGGAGATATATTGAAGGCTTCACCAGAATAGCAAAATGCTTTATAAGAAGCATATTGAATTCATTCTATATTGTGATTTATATTAAGAAACACCAAATGGAGTATAGTAGATCAAGAGTTGATCATGTAGAAGCCGCATCTATGAAATACAAAAGGAGAAAATTACACATGATATCGTACACAAGTTAGAAGTCTTAGAACTAGTCTCTTGTATCAGGTGCAAGGTTACATGAGAAGAAGCTAATATAAAGAAGAAGATAAAAGTCCTCATTGTTATTAAACATATAAATTACGCTATTCCACTTCTGTCATTCTCTATCATCAACATCGTCCCAGCATATGAGCTCTCCACAAAATTGCTTCAGAAGATGGGTGAGTTTAACTAACCTAACACCTCTTTCCTTCCTCAGGTAGTGACTAGATGAGGGACAGATCCCTTCAAAGGAAGGATGCATGAGTAAGTTACATACTTTACGCTATCCACCAACACGACAACAAATATCCGAGAGAGAGACTTCTTTCCCATCACCCCATCAGCATCCCCATCCCCACCTTCCCTCGGATCGACAAGCACAGAAACAACCATTGATGAAGAAGACAGAGAATTGTTTCCTTTCAGCTCTTCTTCCTCCCCATTTATTTCCACTGTTTCAGCAGATATGTTGTGAGGTGATGCGGAAAGAGGAACGGCAAGACTGTGGAGGATCCTTCTATTTCTCCCCTTTTTGGCACTCTGAGATATATTCCTCAGGGAGCTGGCTGGAACTATGGCCGATGACACGTCAAACTGGAATACCTCTGTGCACATTCCTGAGCTTAACATAGGTCCTAAGAGCAGTAAAATATGACATGAATGCACCATATGTAAGCCGACCATCAATATTTTAATAGCAATACTAAGAGCTTGTATAGGTTCAAAATGGCTGAAGTGGCTGAGGGTGATAAAACTGCGGCTGGAAATGGATGAATAGACTAAACTGTCTAAATAATTTATACAAGTACATATCAATCTATCTGAACAAGTTAAGGAAAATGATATCTAAATGTAAAGGCAGCAGACTAAAAGTGTCAATTTCAGTATTTCACCCATTTCATAAATAAAAAGTAACTCCTTCACTGCATTTTTCCATTTTCAGCTTATTCAACCACCAAAATGAAACAAGTTAGAGCCCATTTTATATGACTTAAATTGCTCGGTAACTCGGAAAGTTGAAGTTGACTGAAACAGATTGATTGATTGATTGGATTTGATTCATTATCAAAGTATTTGTCTAAAATATAGTTTTTTATAAACATCAAGAAAATAATATCTAAGGATGAAGGTTGTAGTGTCATTTTAATTAATTGTGGCATTTACAACAAAAATAGTAACTTCTGCAGAGTATTTTTTACACCATCTGCCAATTCAGCTAGTGCAGTGAAATATGTTAGTACTTGGTTGAAAATATGATGGATTAGGCTAATAAGCTGGAAAAATGCATGCCAAACGACATTTATTATCTGGTAAAATTACTGGTTAACAAGGTTGATAAGTTGAAATCATGCTTTCAAAACGGGCTTAAGATGGTTTGTCATGCTTTCAATTACCTGAAAGGCCTTCTCTGAACCATTGCTGCAGTCTACCATCAGCAGCTCCAGATGACCTCATATTGTCCTTGCCCATAGAATCAGGACCAAGAGCCCTCTGACGCTCAGCTGCACCTTGATACAATTGAGAATGTATTCCACCAGTGATAGCAGAGGCCATGTTTTCAGGAACTGCCAGACCTGTCTCTTTGCTCCCCTCCTTTTCTTTGGCACTTCCATGAGACGCCATGGCTTTCTCACTTGCCATAACAGAATGAATGATTAAGTTACCATCGATTTTCACAAGCTTGTCGTTCCTGGGAACATATAAGGAGGCCGTAAGGGGTGCACTACCATTGCCCGATTGAACAAACTCATCTTTCTCTTTCTCACTGGGTCTCTTTACTCCACCCCCGTGATCTTCCCCACCACCAAAATGGGTCATGTTGCTAAAATACTTCCTATTATCATAGATCTCACCATGGCCAGTTCCATTATTAGCAGCCAACACTCTTCCAGGGTGCGTTTCATAAGTATAATCATCTTTCCTTGTAAATGCCTCTCTGATCCCACCATACTTTGAATTCATTGTGGGGGCCAATCCACCAAATATAAATATAAAAAACAGCAAGCCAATGAAACTAATGCTGGCAACGCTTTTAGTCTTCACATCGTTATGCTTCTTATTCTCCACTTTCTTACTATTTTTAGGTGTAGAGACTGTTTTATGAGGCTTCAACCTTGGAATCGGAACTAAAGGAACCTGAGAACCTTGTGACTTGATCATATAAGGTGGTGCACATGGCATCCATGGATAGATCATGGGTGGATACATCCCTGGGGGTGGGGGTGCCATTTGGGGTGCGACGGCAACACCATTACTACCCACCTGCTGCCTTAAGACAGCATTTTCGGCCATTAGATAAGATATCTTGGCATTCAAGTCTTGGATTGTTGAATGCATTTTCCTCACTTTATCCTCTAACTCCTCAACGTAATGCTTCTTACGTTGCCTTGAGAGTTGGGCACTCTCTCGGTTTCTCATTAATCTAGTTTTCCTCTTCTCGTCATCTCCACAAGAGATATTATCATTATTGTCACTGTTATTCTCAGTGTTGATAAAGTCAACTGGTTTTCTATATTTGCTACTCCGAGACTCCCCATTGTTAGTCTCCTCACTCTGTTTCTTCCTCTTCAATATAGAGTTACTACAGCTGTTATTTATTCTATTGATATTATTATTATTACCAGTATCAGCATTCACATTCTCTAACTTGAATTTCTGGTCAACCACACCAATCTTAATTGAATTAGCAGTTCCAGAGTCAGTCGAGGAATTTACCGATTTGTCTGAGTCTGTGGATACAAATTCTAGCCCGGCGGACTCTGGAGAAGGGCAATCCAAAACCACGTCACCACTCGAGCCCTGGTTTTCTTTCCCAGACGGCTGAGAAGCCTCGCGATTAGACCCATTCGACTCAGGCGACGGAACATTCAGGTATCCTGAGATATCTGCGCAAATCTGTTGCGAGTCCGGAGAGTTCAGAAACAAAACCCCAGAACCACTGGAGCTTAGCTCCGGCGACGAAGGATTCAGAAAGGTGGCATCACCTGCAATGTGATCGGCCGAGAAATGAAAAAGTTCTGAAGAAGACGACTTGAAAATGCTAGCAGAATCCTTAAACGCCCCGATCTGTCCACAACCAGATCCCTGTTGCGCGTAACAAGCGGGACCTAAGTGCTGCGCCAGAGCAGGATCACAAACGGCCTGGTCGAGCGAAACCGGTGGCAAATCGCTATCGAGGGAATTGTCAACGCCGGAGGGGAGGTAGAAATCTTCGAATGAGAAATCGAAGTCGAAGTCGTCCATCGCCTCCTCGCCGTTTTGGAACATGGGTGCGGCTTCCATAGGCGAAATTGGAATGGCGTCACTCAATTCACCGGCAGAGAAAGCGGAGGTGGGGAGATTTGTGGGAGGCAGCGATGGGTGACCCACCGCTGTTGTGGTCATGGCCGGGAGATTTCCGGCAAGGGATCACATCGACATGTAGATAAGCGGTTTTTTCTCGCCTGAGATTAAGCTGTGGGGTTTAGCCTTATAAAAGGAGTGAGACTAACGCGTTACAAAAGGACGTGCAAGGTACGTCTATTATTTTATCTAAAATAAAAGTCTTCATGTAAAATTTATTTTGTCGACCACTAGTATATATGGAGTATATAATTCCATCCACGATTGTTGCTATTCTCCGTTTTTTTTTTATCGCAACATGTTGAATTTTACACTTTTCACGTATTCTACTTTGACTATATTTTACGAAAATTATATTTTTAAAAAGATATTGTTCAATTCATCTTATTACAAATTTTCAAAATCTGATTTTTAATTATTTTTAGCTAATAGAGATTAAGATATAATTACGGTCAAAAATGTGCGTTGTCAAGTGTGAAATGTTGACCGTTGCAACTAAAAAAGAATGGAAGAAGTATTTGTTAGTGTGCATATTTTTATATACTATGCATATTCCAAAATTTTGATAATTGCTATTTGAGGAAAATACTGAAATCTTGGTCACTATATTCAGTCATTCACTATATAAAAAAATCAATTTTTATAGAAAATGTAGACATAACAACATTTTGAGTATGATAAGATATCATGAATTATTTCATAATGATATTGGCATATATTTTGAAATCGATCAATAATCGGTTATATCGATTAGAAAGACAACATCACCTAAGGATAAATTAATGATCCATGTTGTTTGAGTAATTTTTACTTTTTTACTAGAGATCTTTATTACACGTAATATTATTTGTATCTATGTTGTTTAAATTATTTTTAGTAGAGTGTGTTATTTTTTAATAATTATTTTTTATCATAATAATTATTGTCTATTATTGAGTAGGACATCAATAGGTTTTTTTGTGGAAAAAGGCGACTTAATTGATATTACAACATTCGGCAAGGGAACACGAACATAAAAAGATCACTTCCAACTGCCGATTCTCGAACCAGACTTAGAGCCAAGCACCATGTAAAAGCAATATGGCTCGTTGATCATATAGTAGGTCTAAATGAGCCTAACGAGGTTAAAATAGACCTCTCATCACCCCAAACCTAATGCAAGAGTTTGACCAAAATAAAAGTAAATGACAACAACAAAATCAGTCTGATCAAAAGCAAATAACAAAAAAGGAAATAAAATAGTGGAGATTCAGTTGCACCCTAACCATTCTAGTTGGTGGAGGCTGAGGAGGAGGCCGGATCATCGCTATGATTGTTGACGCGGAATGGATCAAAGCATCAATCAATCGTGCATCCAGCCATCTCCGACGGAGCATCTACCCTTCCTGATTAGTCCTCCTGTTCGCCGCTTCTCTCCTGCCATCACCTTGTTCACGTTCGGTGGCTTGGAAGCCGCCCTAACTGATATGGAATTGAATCTGCACACAATGACAAAAGGGAGAAACCATATTGAAGGGAAAGACCGCAACATACGTACCATAGCCCCTTATTAGCCCCTCAATCCCACTTAGCAGCTACTAGTATAATGCACCTCCGCAAAATATCTCTTCTTCTCCTGCTAAAAGACGCTGACAATATGACCGAAAAAACCACCCTAGAAATAAATCCTAGGGAAAGACTGCATCAATAGACTATGCGTTGAAGTCGTCCCATTGGATATCAATAGATTATTATTTGTATTTTGTAGTTTGCTTTATATTTTTATATCAGAGAGTAATTTTTTGTAATGAAATTTCAGTATGGCAAGGTAAATACCATGCCTTAACTAAATTAAAAATTTGTTACATCAAAATACAACATATCGGCATTTCAGCTAGATAATGATATGTATTCTTTATATGTCGAAATTAAGTTTTGGCTTATCGATATGTCGTATCTATCATTCCTAGTCCAAACAAATAACGGATATAAAAATTTGTTTGATAAAAATTCAATGTCAGGATAAAGAAATTCGTCACAAACAAGAACTTTTTATAATGATCACTCTTAATCACGTTTTTCATTTGATTCAATTTATGACTAAAATAAAGATGATTTACAAAAATGTGTCTAATGACTAGAATAGTAATGAAATCATAGTAATTCATGTTCAACTTTTAAATTTAAGTTACTATAACACTACATTGTAGTAACTATTAGTCATATTTGTGTATAAAAGTTTTATTTTAGTAATATTTTTGTAAAAACCCTTACAAAATTTAAACAGTTTTTTTTTGTAATTATCGTAAATTTATTATAAAAAATGTAACCTTGTTGATTTTAATCCATGATGCAAGATGGATATTAATATTCTCATCTATATATTTATAAATAAATGAGTCTCATTTTGAAATAATGGGCTCACTTTATAATATACGGACCTCTTTTGTCTCAAATTGATAGTCGTCTTGTTTCGAATGATGAAGTTTGACCGATGGAAAAATGGCTTCTCCCTTACAAAATTGTACGGAGTATGTATGATTCACAATTTGAAATTTAGATATTTAGAAACTAAATCAAGAAGTGTATTGAATTGCAAAAATTTAAGTTGAATCTGATAAAATTTGATGCATAAAATTAGATTAAAAATGAATTGAGTTTAATAGTGAATAGTAAAACATGACTATCATTTTGGAAGAGAAGTGGTATTATTTATTACTACCTCCATTCAATATCGACTGTCTTTTTTTAATTTGTCACGATAATTAATCAATAAAATGATTGAAAAGTAAAAATTACTCCCTTCACCCCGTTAAGATTGTCCCAGACGCTATTCACTTGGTCAACACAAATCACTTTTAATCTTTTACTTTATATAACAAATTTTTATCAAATTTGATTCAGGTGTTTGCGACTTTGTAAAGATTTTAATGTAGTTTCTGAATATGTAATTATTATTTTCTAAAAGTAATTTGAGTGCGGACATGAATCTGTTTGCTTTATCGTCGGTCAAACATCGTAAACCGAATTGTCCCAAACATAATGGGACGAAGGCAGTATTATTTATAAATTTGAGTAGAATACAGCTGAACCGCAATTTTATAGCCAAAAGGAAATAAGATAGTCATTTTAAAACAATCCAAAGTGAAAAGTAAAACAACTAGAGAGTGAAGTGAAGCAAAGAGAGTATTTACTAGCTAATTTGCTAACTTGATATTTTTCATTATAAAACGAAACTCAAAGCATGAATCAACCAGTTCATTTCAATCGGGGCAAGTAAGATATGATTTCCTTTTGGGAATTTGATATACCCGGTCCGAATTGATACCAAACAAAAACCATATTATTTTTCAGTTTAGCTTGGTTCATTTTAGTTCGATTTGATTCGGTTTGAATTTCTTTAATCCGATTCGTTTTGTTCGGTTTTATTGATTTTAGTTCGATTCAATTTAATATCATTTGAAAAAAATACTTCGTAATACGAACTTCAAACTAAGGGGGTGTTTGGATCTGATTCTCAAAACTGATTCTGCTGCTTCAGGGAGCAGAAGCAGAAGCTGGAGTGTTTGGGTGAAATTCCAAAAGCACTTCTGGAGCTCTAATTTACTCTTAGAATCAGTTTTTTAGAAGCTGGGAGGTACCAACTTCTGAAAACTGATTCTGATTCTGCTTCTGCTTTTAAAAAAGAAGCAGAAGCAGAATCAGTTCCAAACACCCCTAAATTGCATATGGTGTGAATCGTGTGATTG